CCCTCATTGCTCTGTGTGTATATCTGCGGCTTTATCTGGGCTTGTTTGGTGTTGCGTGTGTTGCCGCCTGCCTTGGGCGGCTAGTTTGTGCTTAACCCCTGTTTTTGTTCCACACCGGTTGGTCACAGGGGCGGGAGGAGTCTGGCTGGCCTAGACGATTGTAACAAAGCAAAGCAAAAAAAGCTTGTTCCGGTCCCCTCGCCGACGGCGTGGGGCCCATGTCTTGCGCGTGTTGTGTCTTGCTGCGCCGCCGGCCGGTTTCGGCGGGGGGGATGTTACTGGCGTTTGTGTGGGTGTGGGTGCTTGCTGTGCTGCGTGGGTGGAGTGCTTGCCTGCTGGCTTGCCCTGCCCACTTTTGGAGGCGGAGGCGGTGGGCCGTGGGGCCGTCGCGGCGGCCGTCTCCCGATGAGTCTTGCAGCTGCAGACGCGTTAACAAATCATCATCATTACCACCACCATCATCACCATCATCAAATCAAAATGAAACCAGGCATGTCTCCTGGGTGTTGTGTGCCCCCCTGTTGCGCAACAGCATGCTCAATTTGTGTGTCTGCAGCTGAATTCTGGCTTGCTGCCAACTTTGTTGCCGACTGTGCTGGGCGCCTAGTTTGTGTTTGACCCAAGTTGTTGTTTCAAACCGGTTGGTTCCAGTGGCGGGAGGAGTCTAGCTGGCCTTGTAGACGATTGTATCTTAGCAAAGTAAAGCTAAGCGAAGAATCAACAAGGGGATCAGGGGTACCTCAGAAGTACCAACATGCACAAAGCAACGGCTGGCAGGGGAGCAGGCGCAGCGGCCTCACGTTGGGCAGGGACTGCTGCACTGGTGGCCAGAGTTCAAGCGCCGCATGGCAGCCAAGGCAATGGGGCTCAACAAACAGCTGTGCGAGAAGGCGCGCACGGCGGCCAGCGTCGCGCCGCGCCGCGCCGCGCCGCGGTGCAGCGCCTGGGCGGCGCGCTGCGCGACCTCGACGCGGCAACCGCACTCATCATGGGCCACACTCGCAGCACGCCGCCGCTGCGCATACTGCAGCATTGGCTGCCGGCGACGAACTAGCAGAGTGCACAAAGGCAGAGACGGCCCAGTGGGCAGTGGGCCTGCGGCGGCGGGCGCGCGAGTGGATCCGCCAGGGGGAGCGACCGTGCCCCGCGATCACGGCTGCCCTGTGGGCGCCTGACAGCTCGCGCCACGTAACGGCGCTGCGGGGCCCTAGGGGCTACCTGGGGACGTGCCCCCGCATGGCGCGCGCGATGGTGCGGCACTGCATTGCCGTGTCGGCTTCCCGGCCGGTTGACGCAAGGGCGCAGGAGTGTGTGTCGACGGCGCTGGCGCACAACATGCCCCGGCTGGAGCCGGAGGGCGGACACGGGCTCGCTGGGCGCTGAGGAGGCGACCGAGTCGGGGGAGGCGGCCGCTATGTCGCGCATGCGCCCAGGCCGCTCCCCAGGCCCAGACGGGCTGCCCAAGGAAATCTACAGGCGTTTCAGAGGGGCAGCTGGCCCCCGCCCTGGCCGCCCTGCACACTGCCTTGTGGGAGACGGCCGGGCCAGTGGCACGGTTTCTAGAGGGCCCATGATGTCAGCATTTTTTTTTGATATACAAAAAGGGCCTCAAGGCAGATCCAGCCAACTAATGCCCACTGACCCTCCTCAACACCAACTCCAGCATGCTGGCGCCCCACCGCAGGGGATCAGGGGCGGCGGCGGCAGCAGCAGCAGCAGCAGCAGCTGCAGCAGCAGCAGCAGCAGCAGCGCCTGTTCCCTGGAAAGGCCCCAGGGCCTTGCCATGGCAAGGCATGTCTCGTAACTGTGCGCAATGCGCCTGCATTGCTCTGTCTCTACATCCCCAGAAGTTTGTTTTGTGTTCTGCGCCTGTACGTGTTGGTGTGTGGTGCCGTCGTTACCAGGCCGCCGTTTTCTTCAAGACCCCCTTACTGTTTTGAGCTGGTCGGTCACAGGGGCAGTCCATATGGCCAGCGCAGGTATGCAGCAGCAGCAGCAGCAGCAGCAGCAGCAGCAGCAGCAGCAGCAGCAGCAGCAGCAGCGGCGGCGGCACGACCACCACCAGCAGAGTGTACACCAGCTTTGGCAGTTACTGCAGGGGCTGCTGCATGCAACCGCCCCTCACTTGCAACAGCTCGCAAAGGGCGGGGCAGGGCGGCAGCTCACAAGTGTACAAGGTCGACAACCAGGCCCGCCGTCAGGACCACGCTCGCTCACAGCGATCGGGCGGTATCGGAGCCCTGGCCCCTACATGATGCGTGCGACTTGGAGTCAGCAGCTGCATACAATCTGGAGCAGCTGCAGCTGTGATGGTCTCTTGAGCCAGTTGGGCACGACGAGCACGCACGAAGCACGGCCACCTTCAATCTAGGAGAACACATGGGCGAGATCACATGGCGGGAAGTACGAGCCCAGCTGGTGGGCACGCGTGACCCAGCTGTGCGAGAAAGCGCCGGGTGCCGGCGCCGGACCAGGCGTGGCCACCCAAGACACGAACTGATGCCGCACTTGTTGCAAAACCACACATCGGCATATGCACAGTTGGAGTGGACGGGTCAGGTACAGGAACCCCACTACTCGCCCAACCACAAAACACAAAACTTCCATGGCGCAGCTCATGAGCTTGACATCAGGTACATATACAGAAGGGAACTTGCATGCTGGAAGCAGAATGCCGAACACACATGTAGCCCGCAAACTGCTGGGAAAAACCGAGGTGCACCCTGCAACACAGAAAACGGGACAAAATTATAGCGCACTGGATCACAGGCCCCTCCGTTGTTGCCGGCAACATCCGCCCTACCTTCCCCACACCACCCCCCCAAAAAAGGGAAAAACAGACGCAGGCTGCGCGATGGGCCCCAGACGACTCGAGGCTGCACCCACCCACCCACAATCAGGCGGCCGCCACCCCTTGGCCCCCCCGTAGGCCCCCATGGTGGTCCACTGCCGCCGAATACCATTCCTTCAGCCGCGCCCGCTCCTCCACGCCGTTCACCTCCAGCACGGCCGCGCACCACCGCGCGTACGCGCGCCGCCGCCGCGCGTGGGCGGCCGCCCACGCGGCGGCGGCGGGGGCGTGCATGCCGCTCCACGTGAGGGCCAGCTCCGGCGCCATGTCCAGCCCTGACACCAGCCGCGCGCACCGCGCCGCCGCCGCCGCCGCAGCAGCAGCTGCTGCTGCGTCGCCGTCCGCCCCGCTGCCGTGCTCCTCGCCTTGCTGCTGGCCCGCGCGGGAGCCCCGGGACGAGCGGCCGTCGTCGTCGCCGCCGCTGTGCGAGACAAACGGTGGCAGAGGGGGTGGCAGGGGGGTCGCACCAACAGCAGCCATCTGCTGCTGCTGGTGCTGCTGTAACGGCGGCGGCGACGCAAACCAGCTTTCGAGGGTCGGCTGCGCCAGGTCAGCGCTGGACTGCCAGCCGCCCCGATTTGGGTGATGGGGGTGGTGGTGTGGCCCCGAGGAGTACCCTGGGTGGTCTTGCTCCTGCCCCTGCTGCTGCTCCTGCCCCTGCTGCTGCTGCTGCTGCTGCTGCTGCTGCTGCTGCTGCTGCTTCTGCTGCCAGCCTGCTCCGGCCAAAGCGCTGCGCAATGACAGGGCACCGCCGTCAGCCTGCAACAGCAGAGGCTCGCTCCGCAGCAACGCGCCCTGGCTGGCGGCGCCCCCCGCCCTGGGACTGGCGGCTGGCCCCAGCGGCGCTGACAACGTGGTGACCACATCCGCCCCCGCCTCACTGCCGCTGTCTTCGCTTGACGCTGCTACTGCCTGCTGCTGCTGCTGCTGCTGTTGCTGCGGCGGCGGCGGCGCGGAAAACAGCCGCTGGGCTGCGGGCGACTGGATGGGTGCGCTCGCCTCGAAGCCGATGATATCGTTGAGAGCCGACACGGCGAGCTGCGGCGGCGCCCCGCCGCGCGGCGACGCGGCGGCGGCGGCGCGGCTGGAGGGCAGCTGGGCCCACATGAGCTGCTCCAGGGCAGAGTCCAGCCAGCGGCCCGGGGACTGCGGCCGGCGGCGGAGGTTTGAGGGGCCGGTGAAGAGCGGTTGGTGTGTGGCAAGCAGGTCGGCTTGTCGCGCTCGCGCCACGGGATGGAGAAGGGTCGGCGCGAGCTAGAAGACAGGCGGGCGCCGCACGAAAGTCACACGGCCGCGCCCGCTGAGTCGCCACACAGGCTATGGACCGCCGCCGCACCCACAGCAACAGCTCCTGCCCGCGCAAGAGCCTCCCAATCCTCTGCGCCACCCCCCCCAAAACACACGCACACGCACACGCACACGCACCTTGCCCGGCGCCGCGGCGGCGATGGCGCGCGCGGGCGGCGGCTCGGTCCTAACCTCCAGAATGTCATTCAGCGGCCGCACCGCCGCCCGCAGCGCGGCGCCCCGCTCCGCCGCGACCCCCGCAAACCCGCCGTCCACGAATCCAAACCCGCCGCCGCTCGGGCTCGGCGCGCGGAAGCCCGTCGCGCCGATGGAGCTGCCGGGCGGCGGCGGCGCGGCCGCGGCCGCGACACTCGCGGCGGCGGCGGGGGGCGCGGCGGCGCCGGGCGAGACGCCGAGGCTGGTGAGGGCCGCGGTGAATAGGGAGCCCGCGCCGGCGCCGGCGCCGGCCAGTGCGAGCTTCAGCGGAGAGGCCGGGGGTGCGGGCGGGGACGCGCGGGGCGCGGC